TGCATTTGTGATCGGAGAAATGACAAACAATAAGCGCTACTCTACACTGCTCAAACTCGCGTTTGAATCATCAGTGGCAAATCCTTTAAATTAAAACGTACTTACAGTCTGTGAGTCAGAACTGCTGGCATTGTAGTCTACTCTACCAGGATCAGTAAACAGTCCTCCACTTTGACTCCGCTTCGTCGACGGTGAAAGCCGATCCGGCGATCCACAATGCAAAGTTGATGTATTTCCTCAGCAACCAGCACGGATCAGCTCCAGGCATGACGAAGCAGATATCGTCCTCTTTTGGAAGACCAAACAAAGTAGTTTCGCTTTCACAACGATGCACACAGCGCATTCACATGGCGGCAGCGGCAACAATACTACAGCCAGAATAAAAGTTATGCCTTCTTTCTTTGCGTGAACATTTGGGCGGCGTTATGCAAATCTTCCCACATAGTGATGTAGATATGTGGGGGCGTGTTAGAACGATCCGTTTTAGGGAGTCGTGGGTGACTCTTAACTTTTATAAAGAATATCTCTTTGGATTTGAGACTTTAGTCTTTGCAACTTTACGGATCTTCTTTATGCACCAAGAGCTTGTAACACTCCAAAGAGAAAGGAAAAATTGAAATCGCATCATATGACCCCTTTAAAACTGTGGTGAGAACTAACCAGTGCTGAAATGGGGGGTTTCAAGACCCTTTAAAAATACTACTAAGAATATAAAATGTATTTTTATGTTTACCCTATAAAGATCAGTAAAGATTTCACAGCAAAGAGACATGAACCTCAAGCTAAAGGGGGACGTTTTTAGAATGGCATTTTACTTGCTAAAACGTATCAATCAGATGATAGAAGCATGTGGTTGATTGAAATTGTAGGCTTTTGTAGGCTTTATAGGGTTAAAATAAAGAAAGCCAAGCAGCCCTGACAAATCCACTAGGCTGCTGGGAATTAATATATCTGACTCATCTTTTGCCAGGAATTTGTGCGGGCCACAGCGTGATGGTTTGAGGGTAAAACAAAGCTCCGGGTGGGCTAAAGTATGATCAGTAACCCTCTCACTTTGAGCTCCCTCCACTGAGACTATGAGGCAAGCAGTAACCGCCACTCTCTCTGTGTGGAGCGAGAGGCGTTTCGGATACTCCACCCTCAAGGACTCCAGCGAGTCGCTGCTGGATGAGCGCAAGCTGAGGCCTGGTCTGAAAGAGGACTCTGTCATTGAAGAGAAAGAGCGGGCAGAGAATGAGCAGGAGCAGCTGGAGGCTGTGCTGGGACTTCCATCGTCTCCTGTGGAGGACACCCACCAAACGGGCAGCACAGAGCCCTCGGACCCCACGCTAGACTGCAAGAAGGGTGGTGAGATGGAAGCGTCACTAGTGTCTGGCAGGAGGAAGGGTTCACTTGGTGCTTTGCCTGTGCAGCGCTGCAGTTCCCTGGGCACTACAGCCCCGCAGTGGGTCCCTGATTCTCAGGCACCAGCATGCATGAAATGTGGATCCAAATTCTCCTTCACCAAAAGACGTCATCACTGCAGAGCATGTGGGAAGGTGAGAGATGCATGTGGAAATTTAAGTTTAAAGGGATAGTTCACCCCAAAATGAAAATGATGTCATTATTTACTCATCCTAAATTTGCTCCAAACCTGTATGAGTTTCTTTCTTCTTCTGGACACAAAAGAAGATATTTTGAAGAATGTTGCTAACCAAACAGCTGTTGATCCCCATTGATTTCCACAGTATGAAAAAATATATAATGGAAGTGGATGGCTACAAGCAATTGCTTAGTTACCAACATTCTTCAATAGTACCAACAATAATACCAATAGTAATGTAGTTACGACACTGGAATTTCTAAATTCGATACGTTACCTTGAAAAATATTGATATTTGATACCATTTTGAATACCATGGGGAAGAACTCCCAAAACATTAAGGGCATAAAATTTGAGATTTCTATTGAAAGATAAATATAATAAAGCTAGAGCATTACTATGAGGTATATTTTTACATTAATAAAAACTTCTTGAGGTGGTAAAACACTGGAAAACTTACACTGTATACTGGAGAAAAACTTATGGATTTGCATATGTTTGTTTGAAGTTTCTTAGAAAATTCTTTAGAGAGAAGTATTATTTTTTTCCCATTTTTACCAAAAATGGGGTGGTGTGAGCATTATGGAGCATTGATTCATACTGTAAGCCAGAGGGTGCCGTCGCGCAGAAACTCAAAATATGCCACACAAAAGTAATATAATTTATGACATTCCAGGAAATCCCTAATATGGACAAAGGCATCCAGCTGTATCGCTGAAACGGTACATTCACACGGGGCGTCCGCGTTAGTGCTTCATTTACTTTGAATGGGTGACGTCATGCGTTACCGAACTAAATTGTGGGTCCGTCGGCGTCGTGTCACCAAAGTCACTAGAAGGCAAGCCTGCAACCTTTAGCCAAAAAAACGTAATGGCTAATGCTAATGCTTCCGGTTTGCCAGTATGTGGGAAAGGAGACCAGAGGCCGTTTTTTTTTTAATGGATGTAAGTGGAGGAGAGGCTTCACTACACTGAATAAACAGCTTTTTAGAGGAAACCGCTTATAATTTAATGGATCGACAGCCTATCAGCTAATCTCTAACATGTTTTACACTAAGCAATACTTTTGGATTGAACTATTTTTAGAGTTTACACCGAAAAAAATGCCGTTTTATAAGAGAAGTCACTGACTTTTTGCGACGGGTGGGATACAGCTTACGGCACTTCTCATTCATTCCTATGGTATCCGCAAACGGCGATTGAGTGTCGCACAACTCTGACTGAAATTCAATTACGTCAAGGCTGTAATGTGATTGGTTATTAAGGCACACGTGATCTAAGTTGACCATTACGCTTTCTCCAATAGTAAGTAATACAGACCCTCTCATTTCCCTATAGTAAGACCATCTCTGCGTCACTGGCATTGCTTGCGGCAGAAGTTGAAAATTTCTCAACTTTTCAAGCGCCAATGGAGGCGTCAGCCAATCAGATTGCCTTATGCAAATAGCCTAGCTCAGGCGCTGTTGTCACTATGACGATCGCGTCAGCACCAAGCTTCAGACACGCCCTCCGTCAAGTGTTGATGCCGACACCCCGTGTGAATGTACCATATAGTGATGGGAAGTTCGGATCATTTTACTGACTCGGATCTTTGAATCTCGTTCAGCCAAATTAACGAATCCTTTTTCAAGTCGTTTCATTCATTTCTGCAGAATATAATTAAAATTTTATGTTAATATTCAAATTCCCCAACACATCTATTTACGCAAACATTGATCACATTTTGAATTAGTCAAAACTATAATGCAACCAAAACCAAATTATAAAAAACAGACATGATTAATTCATTGCTTAGCTGGCTGTGCAGTCTGCTAGTTCACCTCACCTCCCGAGTCTTCGGGTCGTTCGTTCGTTTGTCACGTCACATCCTTGTAAGGCTAACTGAAAGCTATGCAGTGTTTACAGGAAAGAGAATTTATTAGTTCACCTCTCGAGTCCTCGGGTACGAGTCGTCGTTTTTTTGTCACGTGACCGTTTCCTGGATCAGTATCTTGTAATGTTGTGTTATATTTCGAAATTATCAAAGTGATTTTCCCCATCATACGGATAAAGTTTAAAGCATTAACTAACTCTTCATTACCACATTCAATGTTATGGAAAAGAACCATCACAGAAATTCACAAATTTATAAATTGTAAGAAATAAAAAGCTATATAGCTCAACATTTGAGACCAGAAACATTACATAACTGTAAGAGTTAAAAAACTAACTACACACTTGTTTGTAAGGAAGGTTGGGAATTATTAACTAATTTCTGTATCCATTGCTGCTGTCAAAAGAACGAACGACTCGGACCCGAAGACTCAAGAGGTGAACCAATCATTTCTCTTTCCAGTACAGACTGCATTGCCTCTAGTTTATGGGGAAATTAACTAATCATTTCTGTTTCCTGTACAGAACCTATTGGATGTTGTGCATGCGCAGTCAACACAAAATCAACGAATCGTTCAAGAACCACCCATCATTACACTGTAACTGAATAAAACAGATAGAAATGCTTTAACTGATCAAACATGAAGACAGTAATAATATATTGTTTATCTGTGTTCTTAAAGGTCCCATGGCATGAAAATGTCACTTTATGAGGTTTTTTAACATTAATATGAGTTCCCCTAGCCTGCCTATGGTCCCCCAGTGGCTAGAAATGGCGATAGGTGTAAACCGAGCCCTGGGTATCCTGCTTCTCCTTTGAGAAAATGCAAGCTCAGATGGCCCAATCTGGAATCTTCCCTTTATGTCGTCATACGGGGAACGGTTACCTCCCCTTTCTCTGCTTTGCCCGCCCAGAGAATTTGGCCCGCCCATGAGAAAATGAGCTACTACCGTGCGAGGCGAGCGCAATATTTTTTTTTCCTCGAGAGACATCATGGCTTGCAAACGAGCGAAGCATGGCAGTTGCCCTGCCTCTCTCCTCCTCATTAGCATTTAAAGCTACAGACACAGAAATGGCACGTCCTAAGGAAAGCTCATTGTGGGACTGGCTCGTAGTGGCTGAAATTCTGCACCAAGGCTGAATTTCGGGAAAGAGACTTCAGATACAGTACTAGGGACCACTTAGGCCTATATAAAAGCATCCAAAAAGCAGCATGTCATGGGACTTTTAAAGCCATCCCAGGTATTTCATAAGAGTAAAGTCGTTTTTATATATAATGCAATGCTATTTGACATACCGCAGAATACTATAAATGTTTTCTGCCTCATTCTGATAAGAAGCCACATCAGATCACAAATGGAAGTTATATACTGGCGTTATGAAGTGAATTTGGAGTAAAGATATGCTGTTAAATGTGTATTTTGTTGGACAACAGGTTTATAAATGCTTCTCATTACACTGTGGTTTGAGTGAATTGGCTGTCAGAGAGAAGAGAGAGTGAGAAAGCACAGCTGCTATCAGTGTATCAATAGCCTACTTAAAAAAAAAAAAAAAAGTTTTGAAATATTTCATTTTAGATATTTCAGTATTGATGAGTATCGAAAAATCAATATTTTTGACAACACTAATAGCTAGTTAAGTTTCCTCTACCAAAAATATTTAAGTTGAGATTATATGATGATATTAAGTTAAATGTATGAGTTTGTTCCAATGTTTGGAACAACTTGAGGGTAAATACATTTTTCATCCCTTTAGGATGTTATTCTCCTTCAAAACATGCAACGGTCAATTTGTTTCGCAGGTGTTTTGTGTGGCGTGCTGTGACCTGAGATTCAGACTGACTCATCTCGGTGGGAAAGAGGGGCGTGTTTGTGTCACCTGTCATTCAGCTTTGATGAACCGTGAGTGTCGTGGTGGATTCCCCTACTTGTGTGCTTTCACACATTAGTTACACAGTTACAATGATGTCATTTCATCAGGGACGCTTCGCAAGGACCAGAAGAAGGTCTGGTTTGTAGATAATCTTCCTCAGTCTGAGAGTAGAAGTGACAACAGCTCTCCCGTTTACAGGAGTGTGTCCCACACAGAGAGGGCTGAGCTCACCCAGGCGGTATGACAGGACATCTTTCTGCTTCTCTGCTTGTCTGTTATTTAGTTTAAATGTATTATTTTCCCTTTCATTTTTGTGAAGTAACTTCTAAAAATATAAATATAAATCAAATATAAATATGAATATATATATATATACATAAATGTAAATATGTATTATTTACATTTATTTCTTAAATGTAAATAATATTTCTTAAATATAGATATGTATGTGTGTCGATTTGATGGCCCTAATGAATTTATTTACTTTATTTTGTTTGATTTTATTATTATTTTTTCTTTTAAATTTCCCATTAATCTTTGTGAAGAAACATTTTTACAGTCTTATAACGACCCTATATTTTATTTTAATGTCTTTTTAATCTTTGTAAGATGACTTTAAATAACATTTTTGCCCTCTTGTAATGACCCTTTATAATCACCTTATTGAGAGGATGTTTTTTATTTTATTTTATTTCCCTTTATTTTATTTATGGTTTCCTTTTATTCTTTGTGAAGTAACCTTTAGAAAAATTTTACTTTTTTATAATTTTTTTATTAGCACAATGACTTTCAATGTTTTTTTTACGCTGTAGGAAGTGTCTGACCTTAGAGCAGGAGATGAAGTCAGTGGTCTTAGTGGCAACTGTACTAAACCTGCTCCACCAAAGGACCTTCCCCCTATTCTGACATCTACAGGGGTCAAAGGAGGTAAGAATGTGTCCTAATAAGCACACTAGCTCCGACTAATTAGGAATAATTCACCCCAAAATCATTTTACCAAACATTACTTTCTTCTGTGGAACAAAAATATTTTCCATATAATGAATGCATACAGTGTTCGGAAGCTGCCATGCACCAAAAAAAAACTAGTAAAATTAGTCCTTTTATTATGGCAACAATATGAGAGTAAACATTGACAAAAATGCTATATTTGAGTAAACCATCATTAAAAACAGTCACTATGAGATGTTGTTGATATTTCTAAAGCATTTCATGAGTGATTTTGATATTTCAGAGGCTGGTTCTTGTCTTTATTTCTGCAGACTACACTTTGGAGGAGAAGAGAACCGAGTCGTCGCTCTTAGAGGAGTTGGAGAGAGGTCTTGCTGAGCCTCTGGTGTTTGTGCTCAACGCAAACCTGCTGGCTGTTGTGAAGATTGTCAGCTGTATGTTGCAAATGTCTACTCAACAAAGCTGTTCTGTAGTCAGTGTGGTCAGTCGTATCCAAACTGTTTGTGTGTGCGTCTGTTCTCAGGATGTGTGTGCAATAACATTTCGGTTTAACTTGAAGAAATTACGACAGAAATGTATTTTATACTAAAATGTAATTCTTAAAATAATAATAATCATAATATATTATTATTTTTAAGTAATATCATGCAACAAATATATTTTTTCATCCATGTTTTAATTTACACAGTTCTGTTGTGCAGCATCTTATTTGACAAGAAATAAAAAGAAGTGCGGAATGAGGAGACGAGGAGTACATCAATAAGGAGATTTTAATGACTTCAAGAGAACCAGGAAAACACACGTAGCTGAGAAGGTTGACACATACAATACCAGACGAAGAACTAAGAACACTTCAAGTACACAAGACATGACAAGAAACACCTGGAACTAATGAAACATAATAACATGTGGGAAAACACAGTTGGAAACAAATGGGAAACAATCAGGGAGCAGGAACAGGACAGGAAAACCAAATAAGGGCATGGAAACACATGGGGAGCAAAACACGGAACAGAGTCTGACATTACTCCGGCTAAACTCGGGAACAGGAGTCCTCCGTGGGCTAAACTCTGGGGCTGGAGCCGACACTGGAGCGAGCTTAGGGACTAGGAACCAACCGCCTTCTCCTCCTTAGATTCCCCTTTAGGTTCGGGGTGAAAGGCGTGGTCGGCGGACTTGACACTGGAGCGGCTGGCGACGATAGCAATTGGCCCCGATCCAGAACAGAGAGTTAAGCGTGGCGTCGTCCAGCGCTGTTTTTGCGGCGATCTTGCTGAACTCCCACGCATACTCCACAAAGGGGAGATCTCTGTGGGCTAGGGCGATAAAACGAGCGGCTACTTCTAGGGATGTAACGATTCACTCAACTCACGATTCGATTCAATTCACGATTTTGATTTCATGATTCGATTCACGATTATTTTTATTTTTTTTAACAAAATGAGATTTAAGACAAATTATAAATTAAATGTGTCCTTTTATTATTGCTTGGACAAAATGCTGGAGCAGTTTTTAATCTAAATTAGATTGTATAATTTCGAAATTTGAAGCAAAAACAGAATGGTTTGACTTCAGTTTTGTGAAACTATAAATAAAAATATCTGCATGAAACAGCAGAGCTGAATGAGATGCAGATTCACTCTCTGCCAGCAGGTGGCGCTTAAACCGTTTCCTGGTTTCCGCTATAAACAAAGCAGCGCTGAACTTATGAACTTTAATATGCAATATACAGAGGCAAGATGAAAAGAAAAAATACTATCTAAACTTTTCTAAAGACAGTAAGTTCCCCTCAGACATGCATTCATATAAACTCCTACACCTAAATGAATCGCGATTTGTTTAGCATCTCAACCGATTTTAATCGTCACATATTTGAATCGATTTTCAACCAGCTCGCAGTTAATCGTTACATCCCTAGCTACTTCCATGCCGCGGGGAGAAACACACAGGAAAACAAAATATTTTCAAAACTAAAAACAAACACGGGGAAAAGGGGCGCCGCTTACTGTTTTGGTCTGGTATTCTGTGATGGTGCTACTGTGTTGGAGCGCGGAGCGAGGAACGAGGAGACGAGGAGTACATCAATAAGGAGATTTTAATGACTTCAAGGGAACCAGGAAAACACGTAGCTGAGAAGGTTGACATACAATACCAGACGAAGAACTAAGAACACTTCAAATACACAAGACATGACGAGAAACACCTTGAACTAATGAAACATAATAACATGAGGGAAAACACAGCTGGAAATAAATGGGAAACAATCAGGGAGCAGGAACAGGAAAACCAAATAAGGGCATGGAAACACATGGGGAGCAAAACACACAAAACACGGAACAGAGTCTGACAGTGGCGTTTAACTGTGAACAAACAAGTTACATTTACATTCATTCTCAGTGTCAAACAAACATGTGGAAAGTAATTCTTTTCCCATTAATGGTAAATGAATATCACAATAAATATCATTTTTGCATGATATGGGAAAAAATGTTGTGATAATATTTTTGGCCATATCGCCCAGCCCTAACTTCTGATAACAATAAGCTGGTGTGTTCGTGTGATGACTAAGGTGTTTTTGTGCTCCTGTAGATGTGAACCGGCGGTGTTGGTGTGTTATGTCAAAGGGCATGCATGCTGTTGGACAGCCAGAGGTGGTAATTTTACTGCAGTGTTTGCCTGAGGAGAAGAGATTCCCGACGGATATTTTCAATCATTTCATTCAGATCTACTGGGATGCCCAGACAGGTGAACCTTGCACAGGATGTTACTCAACCATAAAACTAAGACCACTTATCTGCAATGGCTTGATAACTCTTGATCTTGCTATTTCTTCAAGCAGCAGGAAAGCTTCTGAAACACCTGAGTCACTCTTTGGTATCCCGAGGCTTTCTGGGTAATAACGAGCATGCTGGCTTTCTTTATGTGCATCCGACGTTCCAGTCTCTGGAGGGTCTGCCGTTACCTGCGCCACCCTTCCTGTTCGGGCTCCTCATGCTCCGTGCAGAGGCTCCATGGGCCAAAACCTTTCCCCTGAGACTCATGCTGCGTTTAGGAGCAGAGTACAGATGTAAGAAAACTAAATAAAATTAAGATTAATATACCATTCAAAATTTTGGGACTGTAAGATTTTATATTTTTGAAAGAAGTCTCACCAAGGCTGCATTTATTTGATCAGAAATACAGAAAAAACAGTACTATTGTGAAATATGATTACAATTTCAAATAACTGTTTTCTGCTTTTATGTATTTTAAAATGTAATTTATTCCTGTGATGTAAAACTGAATTTTCAGCAGCCATTACTCCAGTCATGTTCAAAAGTTTGTTTGTTTTTTCAAAGAAAGAACACATTCAATTGATCAAAAGCGTCAGTAAAAGCATTTATAATGTTACAGAAGATTTCTATTTCAAATATAGTTTTTTCTATTAACTTTCTATTCATCAAAAAATCTTGAATAAAATATGTACAAATATTAAGCAGCACAACTGTTTTTAATATTGATCATACAAAATGTTTCTTGAGCAGCAAATCAGCTTATTTTAGAATGATTTCTGAAGGATCATGTGACACTGAAGACTGGAGTAATGAGTTTGCAACACAGGAATAAATTTAATTTAAAATATATTAAAAGAGAGTTATTTTTAACGTAATAATATTCAAAATAAATCTTACCGATCCCAGGCTTTTAAAATGGTAGTGTACTATGGTTTGGGGCAACTACTTATTTGGCATACTATTTAGGGAGGATATTATGCAAATTGAGATGTAGCATTATGATTTCTATGATCTTAACAGCTCTTATTTTTTTGTCTTTTTGTTATTTGTTAACTGTTGTTCTTACAAAATTAATCAAACCAAATTGAGAAAAGCTCTAATATCATTCATAATCTCTGTATGCATTATTTTATGGTCTCAGTAAGCCCAACGGTTGAGTTTTTCGTGTTTTCTGCTATCCTGTAGTCTATCCCTGTCCCTTGTTCAGTGTGCGATTCAGAGAGCCTCTCTTCGGACCCGTCAACAACAGTATTATGAGACTCTTAGTGGTGAGATTTGTGACCTATTTTACCAACTCTTTCTTGTTACTGCTTCCTGTTTAGTTCATTTGATGTCTTTTAATTGATTTCCATTCTGTTTCGACTCTCAAAGGATTTCCGTTTTTACCGTTACACACTGCCGACGGTGCCGGGGCTCGTGGTTGATCTAGAGGCTAGAAGCACCTGTATAAGAATCCCTAAAACACGTCATCCAGAGGTACCATGACGCCACACTAAAGGCTAAAATACACTATACAACTTTTGCCCAGATTTACAATCTAGACCTGTTGATGCTTGCTGCCAAAAGTCAGAGCCAGTCTGCAGATTTGAGTTGACAGATTTCATTAAA